ATGCATTCCCAACAATTTTTGGGCCTGGGACGGTGGTACGTTCCCTAGCCCGGCCCCGGCCCCATCCCTGTCCCCGTTTTTTCAAATTGAAATTACTATTATACCCCTATATATATATATATATAGTGTGTGTGTGTGTGTGTGTGTTTCTCTCTAAATAGGTCTTTTTCTATTTTATTCTCTCTCTCTCTCTCTCTCTCCCTCCCTTTCTCTCTCTCTCTCTCCTCTTCATCTTCTTAGGTCCCGTTTGTTTTCAGAGATAGAATGGAGGGGATTCATAGTAAGGGGATTAATAATGAGGGGATTGTTAGTGAGGGGATTGATAGTGTGGAATTGTTAAATTATTTTTATATAAAATAATAAAACAAATAAAAAATATAAAAAATTAAACATTAATATTTAAAAAAAATTCCCAATATATAAAAAATAAAAAAAATAAAAAAATTTCTAATCCCCTCACTATTTTTCTAATATCATCTCTATCTCCTCCTTACCAATCCCTCTTCCAAGGGGACTACTAATATCAAGGGATTAATAGTTCCCTCCACATCTCTCAAAACAAACACCCCATTAATAATACCAAGGGATTAGTAATCTCAATCCCCTCCCTATCACCCCAAACAAACTGGCCTTAGTTGCCAACTGACCACCACCGCCTCCATTGCTGCCTGTCTCTCTACTTTCTCTCTTCTCTCTCCTCTTTGCTCTTCATCTTCTTCATTGATCTACCAATCTGAACAGATCTAACCACCACCATCGCCTATAATGGCTCAAGCGATTAGTCCTCTGGCGGCAGATCTAAGGTTCGTATCTATCTCTCTGACCTCCTCCTTATACAGCAATGTTGTCAGATAACTTGCTAGTCGATCTCTCTCAACTCTCTCTTACCTTCCATCCTCTACCGCCACACTCTCTCTCACTCCGATGGAAGAGATCAACGATCTCTCGGTTTATGTCGACAATGATAGAGAGTTGATCGTCTTTCTGGAGCTTGTTCACTTAGATTCGACGAGTCCAACATTGTAGTATTTGTTTGATTTTGAAAAAATTGAAGAGCATGTATAACACTAGAGTTCATTGAAGTTTATACCCTTTTTAATTTCTTCTAAGCATCCACAGAAGTTGGGTTTGTTTTCTACAGAAGCTCAATTTGGTGACAAATTATGAATTGGGTCTATTTTCTATGTTTTAATTCAGTGGTGTGAATAAATGAATTTGGGGTTTGAATTAGGTCTGTTGCTTACTGTTGCTGCTTTTTTTTTTTTTTTTTGTGGCAAGGAAATGTTCGGGTCGGGGAAATCCAATCCCCGTTAGGAAGCGGGAGCAGGAACGAAGACGGTGATATGTTCCCTGTAGGGATCGGACCGAGGGTGAAGAAATTTTTACCATCGGGGATCGGGAACAAGAGTGTGATCCCTGGTCCCGTCCCGACTTGTTGCCATCCCTAATTTTGACACCTTTGATTACAAAAATATATCACTTTTACCCCTCCAGACCACCTTCAAAAAGAGATATATTTGTACAATTTGCATAATTGAGGGGGTCAACATATACAAGTTTATAGATGAGAAGATCAAAGTGATATTTATTAATAGTTGAAAGACCTTGGTATTAGGAATGGTCACAGGACAGGTTTGTCATCCCCTGCCCCCACCCTCGCTTTCGAACCCCACTACCGTTCCCTTCCCAACCCCACTATGGATGGAATTTTTCAACCCCATCCCCGCTCCTGTAGATACCTGATACCAGCTGATACCCGACCATATTTCAGATAGCCAAAAAAATTGAGAATCATTTAAATCTTTAACACACTAAATAAGTTCTCTTACTTCCATATATACAAAAAGCAATACTTTTAAGATTATTATTTATTTATATTTAAACAGAACTACAGACTCTTAGTATTCCTTTCTTATATCTAATTATATTATATATACATAAATATTATTAATTACATCAGGTCGGGTTAGCATCAAGGGAGGCGATACCCACCCCCACCCTTGTTGCGGGTGACTAAAATATAATCCACCTCCCCTCCACATAAGTATCAGGCCAGGTAAAATCTACCCCATTCGAACGGGTATACGAACCCCTGCAGATCGGATTAAAATAACCATTCCTACTTGATATAATTAACTTGTCTTTAAATAGTTGACCAGAAATTTCATGGAATCATTATGTGAATTTTGGCATGGTTTTTTAACAGTGCATGCTATTGAATCCGAACCATCCCATATTTTTGTTGGATACATTACAAATATATTATGAGATTTATTTAAAATATAAATTGTCTCTTATGATTTAAAAAATTATAAATATTTTTGTTAGAATTTTTTATTTAACAGAATTAATTAAAAAAAATAAAATTTCTAACTGTTCTCTTATATAATAATAAAATTATCTGAATCATTAATTGAAATAAAATTTTAACCTCATTTAAAACTGTTAATTAATTTGATGATTTATTAATGAATATCAAATTAAAAATTTCAAGGGGTAAAATATAATTTTTAAAATTATGAAGGATAATTTATATTTTAAGTAAATCTTAAGAATGTATTTATAATTTATCTTTCTTTTTTCCCATCCACAAAGATGACTTTTTCTCTGTGGAACCTGTTTGGATAGTGAAAGAAAATAACATTTTAAAAAAATTGAAAATTGGGAGAGAAAAATAGGATTGTTTACCATGTTAAATGTCTATTATCTAGTCTATATTTCAAAGTATTTATAAATTATGTCCCACCTATGGAAAAATTTAAATTTCTGTTGATGGATGAAAAAAATTAAATTATGTAATACCAATTAACAAGAAGAAGAAGAAAAAAAAAATCTCTTTTACTTTCATTAGATTGATTTACATGCTCAACTTTCATTATATCATACATTGGCCCCGTTTGATGTAACTGTTAAAACAGATTATAGATTATAACTTAACAGATTATAAATTATGACTTTAATCAGAAACTGTTAATCTGTTTGGTGTAACTGGTGGATTATAGATTTAAGTTGCTAAGTAGTGTTTGATAAATAAGCTGTAAAGTCACTTTTTCAATTAATTTTTATTTTTTGTTACTCACTACTTATCTATATTTCTTAATAATAATAATAATCTATGATCTATTTGGGTCTTTTTCTATTTTAAAATAAATAAATAAATTTAAGAGTATAACCGTAAATTAACATGTCCACAGCAGAAGCTGACAATCAGAAGTAAGGGGTGAGCAGCTTCTCAAAATCAACTTTATTGTGTTAAAATAAGTTATTAGAATCAGAAACTGTTTAAAATAAGTTTAACCAAACAGTCCAAAATAACTTTTCAAAAGTTAGAAGTTATACGTTGGTTCAAAAAAATCCAAACAAACACCCTCATTGATGTCATCATTTGCAAGTTGCATAAATTTTAATTCATATGGTTACCAAAATTGGAATACAGAAAGTTATTTGAATTTGAACTATCATTTTTTAGAAATTTTAATGAATGATATGTATTTTGGGGTGTTTTGGGAAGTTGGTAAAAAGTTGATTTTTTTGCTTTTTTAACTTATTTTATCTTTTTGTGGGTAAGTTATGTGAGAGGTGATGTGACCCAAAATTGGTAAAAAACTGAAAGTTGACTTTTTACCAGCTTCCCAAAAGAGCACTATGTGTACTTGGGCAGAAAATATTTACTAACAAAAAAAATTTTATTTAAGCTCCAAGGCCATTACCTTCAACTTTTTCAGCAGTGCTGGGACTCCAGCAAGTTCAGATCCTCTCCTTGCAAGCCATACTTGCGAGCGTCCTTGCAACGGCTGAGATCAGTCGTTGCACATCCAACGACTGAGATTAAAAAAAAAAATTAATTTCACGTTCTTCCTGCCCAAAACAAAACACAGCGTTGGTTTCAGATTTTCGTGGGGAAACACAAAAACACACACTCATTCAACACACGCTCAGTGGTTCTTGTCCGAACCCACCCTAGACGACGACCCAATACCGGCGGCGACCCAGTCTACCCAGTCTCGACGCCGTTACAAGGACCGACGACGGTGAAACCACAGGTCAGTTCCCCTTTGTCTCTGTAAATCAGAGGTTTGCCAAATTTATGATTAACTGGTACTCTATTTTTTTCCCCTTAACTGTTCTTCTTAACAGTGGATCAAATACGTAACTTCATTTGTGTTTGTATAAATTTCTTTAGTTTTCGGCCACAATCTTCAATTTTTTTTTAATTAATTTTCATTTCTGGGTTTTTGTGGGTTTTTTCTGATTTTTCGTCAGTAGTTCATTCTTGAAGCTGTAATTTATTTAATCAGTCATGTGAATAGATAAGGTTTTACTGGAATGTGATGAATTTTTTAGAAATCAATTTAGAAATCAATTTGTCTCTGTCTCTGTCTCTGTCTCAGTTTAGAAATCAATTTTTTTTTTAAATGAATGATTTGAAATTTATGGATGATCTGTTGTTCAATACCGTTGAGGCAAATTAGAAATATGTTTCTAAATTAAAAATCTATTATATATCATCTACTCGAATCAGTTTGAACATTATTCTGCCTATGTTCATTATTCTGCCTATGTCCATTATAATCTATTATATATGTCCATTATATATCCATTATATATCCATCATAGATGATCTATTGCTGTATGTTTCTAAAATGGATGATATATAATGGATACTGTTGCGAAGATGCATTATTCTGCCTATGTTCATAATGTCTCTAATAACCTATTGTGAAGTGATCTGTTGTTCAATACTGTTGCCAATGCATTATTCTGCATATTAAAGATATTTAATGCAAATGATTTCAGAAATTGAGCCCAGATAATTTGGTGACTTGCCAAACCCTGTGTATTTATTATTAAAGATATTTAGTTCTCATTTCTTATTTCTTTATCCAAGTGTGACAGTGGGTTCTTTGATGATAGTGCATATATTGTGTTTATTGATGTAGCTAAGATTTTATTTATGTAGCTAAGACTTTATTTATGTGCGTTTTCAGTTGCATTTTCAGATGGATATGGAACCTGAGAATGATTGTGCTTGGAAGCCAAAACAGGGAATGACCTTCGATTCTGAACAATGTGTGTATGATTTTTATAATACATATGGAGGAAGAATGGGGTCTAGCATAAGAAGGGATTTTTGTAGGAAGAACAAATTCACTAACCAACTTATTTGTAGACTTTTGGTTTGCAACAAGGAGGGATTTCGGAAGGGTGACAAACGAGACCCATTGTCAAAAAACCCTAGAGCTGAAACTAGGACCGGTTGTGAGGCTCGACTTTATGTCAAATTAGATGAGGATACTGGGAAATATGTTGTGACTGATTTCAAAGAAAAACACAACCATGATCTTGTATCACCCGAGTGTGCCCACATGTTGCCGTCTCAAAGAAAGATATCGACTACCCAAGCAATTGAGTTAGATTTGGCGGCACAATCTGGTCTTCGTTTAGGCCAGTCTTTTGAACTCATAGGTAGGGAAGCTGGTGGGAGGCAATGTCTTGGGTTTACAAAATTAAATCAAAAAAATTATTTGAGAACCAAAAGACAACAAAGCTTAGCATATGGGGAAGTAGGCAATGTGTTGCAATACTTTAAAGAAAAATCTTTGCAGAATCACTCCTTCTTTTATGCTTTCCAGTTAGATAATGAAGAGCAAATAACGAATATGTTTTGGGCTGATGCATAAATGATCATGGATTATGCCCAATTTGGTGATGTTGTCACTTTTGATACTACTTACAAGTTAAACAAAGAACATAGACCCTTCGCGTCTTTTGTGGGATTCAACCATCATAGGGAAACAGTTATATTTGATGCAGCCTTGTTGTATGATGAGACCACTGAATCGTTTGTATGGTTGTTTCAAATTTTTCTAGAGGCTAGTCAGGAAAGGCACCAAAAACGTTGTTCATTGATCAAGATGCTGCAATGGCTAAAGCCATACCCATCGTTATGCTTGACACAACTCACCGATTGTGTACTTGGCATTTGATGCAAAATGCATTAAAACATGTTAATTATTTGTTCCAAGATAAGGGGGTAAAGGGTGTACTAAATAAGTTCTTCTTTGACATTGAAGATGCAAATCAATGGAAGTTAGAGTGGGCAGAAATGCTTGATAAATATGATGCGCATAAAAATCATTGGTTGAAATTGACTTTTGCGGTGAAAGAAAAATGGGGATGGCCTTATGTTAGATCAACATGGGCTGCGGGAATGAGTACCACACAACTTAGTGAATCTTTTAATGCTTTTTTGAAGGATTACATTCGTTCTGATTTTAACTTAAATGAATTCTTCATGCATTTCGAAATGGTACTTTACAAGAAGCGATACAAGGAGTTAGAAGCAGGATATGCTTTGTGCCAAAGGTTGCCAAAGGTGAAAGCAACAATAAGAATGTTAACTCAAATGGGTAATGTTTACACAAAAAAGATATTTGAGGAATTTCAAACGAGTACTTTCGATCCATTGAATCGAACATAGAAGCAATTAAATATGGCGAGGCTAGTACCATTTACACAGTTGTTGATGTTGGTAACAAACATGCAAGGAAAGTGAAGATGGAAAGGGATGGCTCATTGGGTTGTAATTATACAAAATTTGAAAGGGAAGGAATCTTGTGTTGTCACTCATTGAAGGTTATTAGAGACATGTTGAAGATGAAAGAGGTTCCTCCACAATACATTCTAAAGAGGTCGACCAAATAAGCAAGAGCCGAAATTGTGAAGGACATTAAAGGGAATGACATTCAAGTGGATGTGAAATTGCAACAAGCCTCGCGGTATAAGACATTGATGACCGCATTTAGAGCACTAGCAAGTAGAGCTGCTGAAACTGAAGAAACTTATGATTTTTGTATTACACACCTTGCTACATTAGGTGCAAATGTTGAAGGCAAGTTAGGTGCTCATTTTGGTGTTGGAAATGAAGTAATTAATGATGATGACACCCAAAGCGTTGAAGTGGATTGCGAAGATGTGAATCATGTTGTGCAACCAAAAGGATTGAAGAAAAGGTAGCAACTAGTAAGGGCAAAAAGAGGGTCAAAGGTGGATTCGAAGCGGCGTTGGTAGCGAACTCCAAAAAAAAATCCCGTGCTAACAGTTTGGCTTCGTCACTGTAGACACCCCATTTTTGACCGACCTTAAGACTTAGACGTCACCAGTTGAGCGCTCGGTGATGTTGCATGTTGTGCTCGTTCTGAGGTTTCAGAGTCTCGGCTACGAGCCTTGCCTCCAGACTTCGGGGCTCTTTTTGTGCCTTCCCTCAGTTTGCGAACCGAGTCCTGTTTTCTCCATTTTCTCTTCCTGGAGGGAGAGGTCTCGTAGACCATCTCTCAGTGGCCGTAGGCTACGTTTCGTGGTCGTAGGCCATTTTTCCTGTTTGGAGCCCGGTTTCCGGTTTTCGGAGCCGTCAGTCGTGTGCCTCGGTTTGGGACCACTTAGCTACCTCCGTTTGCTCCGGTTTTTGGCACACACCTTATTTCCTCCCTTTAGAGGGACACTATGGCCCGGGAGACCAACTTCGTGGTCATACGCCACTTCCAGTGCCTAACAGCCTGTTTTCGGGGCCCTGAACCGCGCATTTTGGCCCCTGAACCTTCGTTTTGCATCCGTTTTGGTCCATTTTTTGTGGGGACCCTATTTTCAATGTTAGGGAGGTGGTAGGATGGTGGCCGGTCACCTCTTCCCCTGAAAAGCTAATTTTCTCATTTTCTCTCTCCAAAAGCCAATTTTTCTAACAGAAAGCTGGTTTTTCTCACTTTTGAGCCACATTTTCTAGCTTTTCATACCACCATGGTGATCTACTCATCTGGGAGGCCACCAATATGGGTAGGCTGACCAGTAATTCTTCTTGACCCTTTTGAACCTTGTTAAAAAGCTAGCTTTTCACTCTCCTGGGTCACATTTTCTGGGTTTTCTCCACAGGGCTGTGTTCTACTCATCTGGGAGGCCACCTTTCTGGGTAGGCCGACCAGCAATTGTTCTTGAACCTTTTGACCCCTGGTCAGTCGACCAGGGGGAGTGGCTGGCCGGCCACTTGTGGCCGGCCTGCTTATTGCTTTTCCTCTCTTTGAGTGTAATCCAGCTGTGCCAGATGGAGATCATTTGGTGCATCCTCCATACACGTGTATGGAGGATCTTTGAAGCTTCCAAGAGAAGCTTTGGCCTCTCTTCTCTATAAGAGAGGCCCTCCTCTTCATATCAGTTTTTTAGACACTTTTGCTTAAGGCTCATCACCTCCCTCCTCCATTGTTACTACTCAAAACTCCAAAACCCTAATTTTCTTGGTCCATTTACACTATAACCCTTGGCACCACACCTCCATCATCCATTCCAGCACCTTGGAAGCCATTTGCAGAGGTTGAAAGCTCACCAACTTGGTCCAAAAGCTACTGGAGGTCAGCTCTTCAAGGGTAAGTCCTCATTTCCCCCATTTTTGCATTATTTTGCCCTATACCTTAGCTCCATTTGAAAGAATTTTTGAGCTTTGGTATATACTTAAAATAGTCTTATTTTGAGCTCCTCTTCATGTTTGTTCAAGAGCATTTTTCTATTTGAGGCCTCCTACACCCTTGCATGCTTTACCCCTCTTTGTAGGCCTTTTTTTGCATCATACTTTAGCCTTACTTGTGAACATTTTCGAGAGTTATCATAAACTGAAAAAGTTCTTATTTTGAGCCCCTCTTCAAGTTTTATTAAGGGAATTTTTCTGTTTGGGGTCATCCTCCCCTATGCATGCTTCATTCCTTCATGATTAGGGCCATGCATTAGAGCACTTGCATTGGCCATGGTTTGGCCTCTTAGCCACTGAAATCTAGTGGATTTTCAGTGGCTTTGATGCATTTTTGAGGGCCAAAATTAGAGGGGGGTGACCCCCTCTCTCCTTGTCTTGTTTGGGGATCCTTTGGGCCTTCCAAAGGGACCCTATTTTACATGCTTTGAAGTCACTTTTTGGGTCCAATTTTGTGCGTTTTGGGGTCTTCCTTAGGTCTTTCCGGGCCTTTTTAATCATATTTTATTTCTACAATACATGTGTAGAACAATTCCATTGAAGGCCTTTTGAGGAGGCCTTTCATTGCATGTTTCCTAAACTGATTTCAGGGCCAATTTTGTGATTTTTAGGGCTGTCATAACTCATTTCCATAGTTGGTTTGGTCATGCTAAGCGTCTATCTTATATGTGCTTAACAACCCCTTGAATGGCCTTCCAAAGAAGCCCCTCATTTTTACATGCATTGGCAGCATTTTAGTGATTATTTGGGCGTATTTTGGCATGTTTTATTCACTGTTTTTGGCTGGTTTGATGAGTTCTTATTTTCTTCATATACATGCCATGTAAACCATGCTTGCTAGCCAATGTTGCATGCTATTTTAGTCCATCATGTTAGCATCTTTTGGCCATGCTCTAAACTAGAAATCTGCATGTCTTGGGACTTCCTTGGCTCTGTCTTTAGACTTCATGATCAAATAATGCTTGCTTTGTATACCTGTGGTTCAATGCATTAGACTAGTTTTGAGTTTCGGGGCTTATTCCATGTATCGGGTGCCATGTTTGCATGATTCGGGACCATTTAGCATTATATTTCAGTGTTGAAAATTACATCTTTGAATGCCATGCTTCATCCTTGCCATGCTTTGGTAGAGTGGTATTTTATGCCTTAGGTTCGGTCCTCGATTTGCGTGCATGTGTGCACGCATTTCGGTCATCTCATTTTCATCTTACGACTACTGATGCGAGTGTGGCTGAGGTCCACTCATGTTGGTGTAAGTCCATTATGCATTGTGTATTCCATTTCAATTCATAGCATTGCGTATGCTAGGTTGCGTGTTAGTGCATTGTGTATGCCATGTTACATCGAGCATTATGTATGCCATCTCATAGCATTGCGTACGCTAGGTTGTATGTTAGTCGCATTGTGTATGCCATCTCATTTGCATTGTGTTTGGGATAGGAGTTAGCCCAAGCACGGGAAACGAGGGACGTTTCGTACTCCGAGTGACGGAATGTGTCTTAATTCCCTATCGCCGACACTCCGGATTACCCATGATGGAGTTTAGGTCTCGTTGTGTTTTCATGTGCATTCATTTCATATTGAGTCGTGCAATTCGACTCCTCGGCCATCATGCATCGATATGCATGATTGGTGGCACGAGGATCGAGGACTGCACTCCCTGCAGAGTAGTCATGCATATATATATGAAAATACCTTGTCATGCCCCTTTGTTGCTCTCTGTTGCAGCAAATCAGAAATCAGCAGCTTTCTAAAGCCTTGGACAGCATTCCGGCATTAACTGTAAACAGAGGCGAATCGGGGCATCGCAAGGAATTTCCCGACCAAGGCAACTCAATCATGCATCATTCGTCATTTGGAACAGAGCTGAGGCGGTCCATAGATTTGCGTGCCAATTTATCGCTTTCCTAGTTAATTTGTTAATTAATTAGGGTTTTGTACTTATTCGGACTGTAATTATCATTCGGACTGTATTATTTATTCGGACCCTCCGAGTGAGGGCACAATTGTAATAAGTGTGCGTGTGTGTGATGTATGTCTTCCAACCCCACGTCTTTCTCCCTTTTATTTACCAGCTTATGATGGTTAGATTAGGGCATATTTCAATTAGCATACAGTATGATAGCATGTTTGCATTCATTCATCTGTCTTGCACGCACTGGGCTCGGC